GGGGGGGGGGGGGGGGGGGGGGGGGTGCGGTTCTCCCTGTTGGGAGACTCTTGGGGCTCCGGGCCTGTGGGCCGCTGTGTATCTGTGGCTCCGGTCCTCCCTATGTTGCCATTGTGTCCTGGGGGGGCGGGTCTGTGGGCCCCCGCGTCCACTATTGGGCATTCTTTTGGAGAAATCTGGTGGTGGCGGGCGTGCTTGCGCGGGTGTTTGGATTCAGGTGCTTTGACAGATGCACGCTAGGTTGGGTAGTGGTGGAAGCTAGATGATTCCTTGTGCGATGTGCTGTGCATGTTGTTTTGTCGTGGTGGTCTCTCGTCTTATCTATTTCTCTTTTATTATTTATTTATTCTTCTTTCTTCTCTTTCTTTAAAAAATAAATAAATAAATGAATAAATAAAAATATTTTTTTTAAAAATTGAGCGATGATGATAAGTTCATTGAAACACTTCACATTGTTTCTACACTTAAACTGAGCTCAACAAAAAAAATAAATAAATAAAATTTTTTTTAAAATAAAACATACACACGGACCAAAGGCATATTTCTATCAACAAAAATGGCGCCAGAGTATAACATACTGCTTTCTGTGCTATGATTGGAATATATTTTGTGTCTCGCAGTTAAGCTACACTGGAATGTAGCTGCTGTGACTGACATCTTTGTTGGGAAGAGATGCCAGTTGGATCCAGTTCTAATATCGCTATTTATTGAACGAGTCTGTCAAGACAGGTGTATATTTCACGCGCGGAGCCGGATTATAACATTAAATATGCTAAATAATTACAGTAACAATAATAAACAGTATTTCTGTTAGTGGTGGGAGATGTAATTAAGCTATCTGAGCAAAATTAAGCTATCTGGACATTACGTAATTTAAGTTATGTAACTTAAACTGTTAATGATGTGAAACATATTGCATGTTACTTAAGTTGAAAATGAAGACATCAAGTTTAATTTTAATTTATTTATTCAACACCACAAACAGTATGTCACACAAACACTGATAAGAAAACTGAACAGACTATTAAAAACACGTTAACCGAACTGTAAACTACATTATGAACTGTACTTTTCCTCTCTGTTATCATCCTGGTTACTGGCCCCATGTTGTTTATCTGGCTTGTACAGGCTGTCACTCCTTTGCTTAATGTAGCTTAAAACATTGAACAGATTGGAAAAAAGAATTGAGGGGAATTTTAAGTGAATAGTTGCTCTAGCATCTCTCTTCAGGTCCTCCTGCACCGCCAAGTCAGTACTCTGTTTCAGAACCGGTACGCCTCTGGTAGGAGGGCAGCTTCTTGTCGCAAGAAAAATAAAAATAAAAACTCAGTTGGTTTTTCTGTAACCGAAGTAAACACAAGCAAACATTATTAAGAATGTTGATTTACCTGCTTGCTCGACGGCTAATTACCACCGGAGTAGGAAGTCCGACATCATCCTCGTCAGTGCTGGTCCGCTCAGCGGCCAGTGTCGATCTGTTAGATGAAGCGATCCAGCTTGGCGTCAAATCCGTCTACTCGTATCCAAAATGCAGCTTTAAGTTTTGTTGTTACTGGGTTTTCAGCCCAGAGGAAAGTCCTTACAGACAACTGTCACAGGCAGCACGCATGAGCATTAGGTGAATGTACAAAATTCATAGCACCAACTAATGACCTGGCATGGCAACTACAGTGGATTCATGAGGGTTGCTGCGTATACATGTAAGCAAGGAAAGCAGCCCGTTTCAACGCAGATTTTTTTCCTCAAATCAATATCTGAAAAAACCTACGTTTCCCCCAGCCGTGTCTGTGTAAATGGGGCCTTAGACTGAGTAATGACTCATTAGACTTAAGACTGAGCAGTGTTTCCCCTACTATTATACAAGCAAGGCACCCCGCCCCGTCAACAGAACAAAACACCCTGCCTTTCGAACACCCCCCCTCCCCCCGCCCCCCAAGACAACTGTCGGTATTGACATAGCACAGGGTGCAATACAAACACGCTAGCAAAACTTATACTGATGTAACGCTCCGCATCCACCCCTCCCCCCCGATAAAAAACGTCAGCAACATAGCACTAAGCTAATGGATGGGCAACACAGATGTGACTCTGTCTCTGTCCTATCCTGAGCATAGATAAAGTCAAACGAGATAGTGACACATTAAGTAATGACAATAATGACTATACATTTGTACACAATGCTGTTCCTACCTGTGCAGCTGTGCTCAGGAATCTTATGTATAAATGCATGTGTAGATTCTCTGTGTCATGCAATAATATAATTGCAATTTTAGTAAATCCTGTTTTTAGTACAGTGAGACTCTACTCAAAATTGTGGAATCACTGGCGTCATCATTTATTTGTGACTCGGTGAATATGTCATGTTTTTATTTTATATCTTTAACCTTTATTTTTTTTTATTTTTTTTTTATTTTTTTTAACTATGGACCTTTCTGTGTCTGGAATAAAGATTGATTGATTGATTGATATAATCTTAAATTAGCATACAAACAAAAGGAATTAAGAAATAGTTTAGCTCTTTATCCAAGCACAAATACAAAGACTTGGATCAATTATAAGCAACTTCAAATGCAAATAGACTTCTAGCTTAAGCTATGAGCCTTTCCTGGTTCCGTGGATGTGCATAAGTACCTGGTTTGAGACCAGCTGTCAGTTTGACATCTTTTGCCACATTCTCCTCATTTGATTGGACAGTGAGTCTGATGTAGTACATCTCATTGGTGAGTGCAGGAGGCTGGTGGCTCAGCTGGACACAGATCTTTGGGATTCTGGAGATGATCCTACAAATACAGAAACAAGCAAAGTGAAGACTGCATGCGCTGTTGTTTCTGTTAGAGTAAAACTAACGTTTATAATGAGATTACATGGTGCTGTGCTGCAGAGTCAAACTGTCCCAGTTGAGTTCCTGTCGTGTCTCCATACCACGTGCCCATCTACGTGATGATCTGCTGGCCTGCAGAGCTTCTTGGACTGAGGCAGCATCTCCCCCAGCACCTCTCCAGCTCAGAAACACACAACGGCCATTGCCACTGCCCAGCATCACCTCAATGCCTGTCATCTGCAGGAACACATGCATAGTTAGCTATAGTTCCTTCTTCATATTCTCTGTTAAACATACAGACATACCCCACATACCTCAACCTTCTTGCCAACGTCTTCAGTTTTAGCCACAAAGCTGAAGTTGTAGAACTTGATTTTTCCTGGTAACATGGTCAAACTCTCCTGACTGGATGATTCCATTATACACCACTGGTTGTATTCCTGAAAACAAAAAAGGCACTAAATAAAACCTTTTTTGATCCAGAAATCTACATAAGGGTCTTACACGAGTGATCCAACATTTACACCATTATCACTGGAAAAATTTCATCAAATGTGCACCATCTCATGTGCACAGCTTCCACCACTTATCTGTGGTCTGTTCACAGTGCAACAGATCCAGGAGAGAAAATCCAGACACCCCTCTCCTCCAGCTACTCTCCAGATATTTTTGGGGGATCCCAAGGTGTTCCCAGGTCAGAGAGGACACTTAATCCACAACAAGTTCTGGGTCTGCCCTAAGGTCTCTTCCCAGTGGACATGCCCAGAAAACCTCTAATGGGACGAATGTTAATCAGTTGCCTGAACCAGCTTAATGGGCTCCTTTCAATGCAGAAGAGCAGCATATCTACGCCGAGCTCCCCCCGGATGACAAAGCTACTCACCTCATCTTTAAGGCCACCTGATGAAGGACATCAATTTCAACCACTTGTAACCAGGATCTCATTCTTCCAGTTAGCTTTGTCTTTCAACTCAGTTTTTTTCCACCGCAACCAGTAACGCCTTCGTAACTGAAGATATGGCACTGATTTGTGAATTTATTTTCCTCTCCATTTTACCATCATTCATGAACAAGATGCTCAGAAACTTAAACCCATCCACCAGAGGCAAAGACTTTTACCCAAACCCAAAAGGAGCATTTCACCTGTTTCCGGTTGGAAATTGTGGCCTTAGAATAAGAAGAGCTGACTCTCATCCAAGCTATTTCCTACTTAATTGCAAACTGCCCCACTGCATACTCAAGGTCATGGCCTGAAGATGCTAACAAAACCAAATCATCCCCAAAAAGAAGAGACAAGACCCTGAGGATCCCAAACCAGACACCTTTTACTTCAAGACTGCACCTAGAGTCCTGTCAATGAACACCACAAGCAAGATCTGAGATGAGGGACAGACCTGGCGGAAATCTACCTGCACACAGAACAAGCACGACTTTGTGTCAAGAATGCGGAAACAGATCCTGCTTTGGTTATACATGGACCGGATAGCCCTTAAAACAACACCGACACCCCATACTCCCACCACACTTTCCACAAAATGCCTCAAGAAACACCTTTATAAGCCTTTTCCAGATCCCAAAAAAATCAGAACAAAAAACATGGAGTCAGACTTCCATGACCCCCTTAGTAACCCTGCAAGAATGTAAATCTGGTTCACTGTTCCACAACTAGGATAAAAGCCACACTACTTCTCCTGGAAGTGAAGTTTGACAATCAGTGGAAGCCTCTCTTCCAACACCCTGAGAAACTTAAACTTTCGTAACGTAAATTTTTCTGGAGAGGCTGAGAAGTGTGATCCCTCGATAATAGGCACACACTCTCCAGTCTTCATTTTTATGAATGAATACCCATGCACACCACTTCGTAAATTTGAAGCTCTTGCTGAAAAGTTTAACTCTAATTTTCCTTTTCTTTGTGGCTTGAGCTGTGTCAGTGGAAGAATTGCAGCTGGGACTTAAAACAAAGTGTAACAGTTTGAGATATGAGACAGCTTAAAAAAAATCAACAGAACAAACTCAAAACAAGCTCCAAATTCAGAACTTCTGAGAAGTTTCAGTTTATTTTGAAAAGCTTTCAGAGGACAAAGAAGAAAGAGGAAATTAAACTGAAATTTTGTGTGCAAAAATCAAAATGTTTCTAATTAATGTCTGAACTTAGAAATCCAAGTGAGAAGTTTATGGGTGTACCTGCAGGTATTTATTTATAGTCCCTTGTGATAAACGAACACAAAACAGTATTTTCTGTATGATGGGCAGCTGTGGCTGAATGGTTAGAGCAGTCATCCTCCAATGGGAGAGATGGGGGTTCGATTCCACCAGCAGTCACATGCTGAAGTGTCCCTGGGCAAGACACTGAACCCCTCATTGCATCTGATGTGTGTCCCAGCGGTGTATGAATGTGATCTAAAATTCTGATAAGTCTTTGTATAGATATACCATATTTTTCAGTCTATAAGTCAGTTTTTTTTCATAACTTGCATGCCCTGCGACTTATATGCCAAAGTGACATATTTATGAATTTTTTCCCATATGTATAAATCAATTTTTGGCTGAGATATGAGCGTTTTCATTCATTCTGACTGAAAATATTGAACACTACCATTTTCAGCTGCTAGATGGCATTCAAGCAGTATGGCATGCCGTTGTGTCATGTAATAGGTAAAAGTGACTATTAAGGACACAACTGACTTACCAAAGCCTGCCACTTTTGTCCATCTCACTTGGAGAAACCATCAAATCAGCTTCATTTTTCTGTGCCACCCCGGCAAAATGCAGGTGATTTGACCAATGAAGTGCATTTATTAAGTAAAAGTTCAACTGAGACACACCTTTACTATAATGTCGAGCAAACAAACATTTGTTTTAGGTGCTTATCTTGTTAAATTTTGAAGAAATGCGCAGTGTTCCTCCTTCCTGATTTCCTCCCTGTCTGTGCACTCTTGGAGCACTGAGGCAGCAAATACTTTTGAAATACAGCTGATTTGACTGTTAAAATCCTTTTATAAAGGAAAAGTTCAACTGAGACACACCTTTACTATAAAGTTGAGCAAACAAATAATTGTTTTTAGGTGGTTATCTTATTAGCCATAATCCTACAAAACACTGAAGATTAATTACGTAAAATGGGGAAAAATATTTAAAATATGTTTAAAAAATCTAAATTTGAACAGTGTACATGCATATACTGTATATTCACCCCTTTGCACCAGCCATTACCTCTAGAAGCCACATAATAAGTTCAGTAAAATCCACCTGTGAAGACGCAGGTCATATATCCACCTGTTCTGACAGAGCAAACAGCTGTTCACCCTCTCCAAGAAAAAGGACTACCACCGAACAAAATACATCATGAAGACCAAATACTTCTCCACACAGGTCAGACACCAAGTTGCAGAAATGTACAAATCTATATTTGGTATAAAAACTACTCCAAAACCATGAACATTCAATTCAATTCAAAAATACTTTATTAATCCCAAGGGAAATTAAATGTGTCCAACAGATCTCCATTAAATTTATTATTTATAAAATAGAAAGATGACATTATGACAGCCAACCTGCAAAACCCACAGAACAGGTAAGGAGGGCATTAATCAGACAAACATTCAGAAGACCAAAGATAACCCTGATGGAGCTGGGAGGATCTGTTCATAGGACCACTACTAGAAGACCACCATCCCTACAGTGAAGCATGGTGGTGGCAGCATGAAGATGTTGATGGTTTTCACCAGCAGAGACATGAAAACAGGTCAGAGTTAAAGGGTTAAAGGAAAAATGGAGGAACAAAACAGGAATTCTTGAGAAGAACGAGTCTTCCAGAGAGCTGGGTCTGGGACGGAGGTCCACCTTCCAGCAGGACAATGATCTCAAATACACAGCTGAAAACACTCCACTAGTTTTAGTGGAACCTTTTAAAGGTCCTGGAATGGTCCAGTCAAAGTCCAGACCTCAGTCCAGCTGAGAGTCTCTGTTTTATTTAAAGATTGTTGGAAACAAGCAGCACCAACCTGAAGGAGCTGGAAGTGTTTGGTCATGAAGAAGCAACAAAAGGTCCAAGTCAGATGGACCAGGATCATGGAGACAAAGACCTGATGCTGGAGCATTAATGTCAGGTATTTTTTTTAAGAATTATTACTTCTTATGAGATTAAAAAAATTAATAAAATTTCATGTTGTAAGAAATAAAACACAGATTACCAGGAGGGGCAAATACTTCTGCAGCCCACTGTAAATCAGCTTTATTCCATTTGTGTGGTGAGTACCTGGTTACTGAGGCTAACAGTCAGCTTGCTGAAAGACACAGGATGAGGACAGTCTGCTTGGAGGAAGACCTGGAGCTGGATGGGCTGGTCCACATGGAAACTGGGAGACTGGAACCTGGCCTTGCACTGAACTGAGATCAGGTAGGACAAACACAAGATGAAATAGTGAGGACATTTGAGTGGCCCGTTGTTTTAGTATTCAGCTTCCAAGGACTGAGAAGTTTTTATCAGACTAGTCGAACATTGTTTTTTTTACACTGGCTGATATCAAGCACGCCCTGGCATAGCTCAGCATGATGAATGTAAATATCTAAAAAAGTTAAATCTGGTCCTCTGGACATTCAAAAAAAAACAAAACAAAGCAAATCAACAAAAAAATGTAGAAACGTTTCGTCTCTCGTCCGAGAGACTTCTTCAGTCTGAGGTGCTGTTTTCAGCTCAGTCTCTTAAATAGCACCTTCTCAGAGTGGATCAACCAGTTTTGCTGCTGACAACCAAAACCAGCTGATCACATGCTCAAGAAGGACCATCAGCCTAACAATGGATCATTAGCACAATGATGGCTGTGTACTATTCACAGAGGGCTGAGTGATACTAGCAATCACAGCATTGTAAGAGGGGGACAATTGAACACGTAGGCCTCCACCCCTGTTTAACGATGGACGGTTTCTTTTCACAAAGATGGCCTCCTTTACTCCTCTCTCAAACCATCGTTCCTCTCTATCCAGGATGTGCACATCTTCATCCCTGAAAGAGTGACCGCTGGCCTGGAGATGAGTGTAGACCGCAGAGTTCTGGCCTGATGATGTTGATCTTCTGTGCTGGGCCATCCTTTTGGCCAGTGGCTGTTTTGTTTCCCCGATGTAAGACTGATCACAGCCCTCCTGACACTGAACAGCATACACAACATTACTCTGTTTGTGCCGGGGGACTGGATCTTTGGGATGAACCAGTCTTTG